TGTGTGTGTGTGTGTGTGTGTGTGTGTGTGTGTGTGTGTGTGTGTGTTTGTGTTTGTGTGTGTTTGTGTGTTTTCTCTTTTACCTGAAAGACCCCAGAGAAGCGGAGCCATAACGGATACACTAACTTGCCAGATGTGGTTCAGCCCTCCCACTCCCCCACAGATTCAGCCACTCACTCCTCCCCTGGGAAGGACTCTGTTTATGATGTAAGTTCTACTGATGCTAAATATATCAGTCCTAAATTCCTGGTTTATTTTTTTTTATCTGCCCTCATTCCAGCCATGAAGTCCACCCATAACACATTACATTTCATGACAATCTGTTCAGCTCGTTAGTGGAGACATCATCAAAAATATGACTCAAAATATGTTTTTAACATTTTGAAACTAAAATCAAACAATGAGCAAACCAAAGTCTGCACAGACATGATGTTCACTTAAACAACACCTTTCTGCTCCACCAGTATCAGTCCAGAGGTTTGGTTAAAGCATCTGGCAAGTCCTCCTTCACCACCTTTGTGGATCTGGGCATGTACCAGTCCCCAGGAGGTACAGGGGATAACATGTCTGTCACTGGTGAGTCATTAAATTACAGCATAATTAATTAAGAATGTAACTTGTTCATCAGCTAAATTCCCTTTTTAAAAGGATGAGTGGGAGATTTGTGTCTCGTTCCGAAGCTTGTACCATTGTTGCCGGCGGTTGCGTTTTCCTTTCGTCGATTTAAGCCGTTTCCATCGGGGCCTCCCTGTTTAGGCTCCAGGTTTGAGCAGCTGAAGATGGAGGTGAGGAAAGGATCCATGGTGAACGTCAATCCCACCAACACACGCCCCCCCAATGACACACCTGAGATCCGGAAGTACAAGAAGAGGTTCAACGCGGAGATCCTGTGTGCTGCCCTCTGGGGTGAGAACAGATTCAATACTCGAGTGTAACGATGAAACATTAGCTCTCTTAAACCAACTTATTACTCAAAATATGTTTATCTTTTGAGTTACCAGACTCGGAGAGTTCAGTCAGATTATTGGTGCCATTATTTTAACCCTCATCTTTGGCTCAACATCCTGACAAATAACTAATATGTCGGCTCCATCAGGGCTCAGGTTAAAAATATGACCAAAACTAACAAAACATAGTGTGACATTAATAATAACTACATGTCTCTGCTTCAAATCAATTCCTGCTCTTAGAGCCTCTTCTCACTTGTAAACCAAGAACCAAAGTTATCTGAAAGTTGTTTTTATAATGTGTCAACTTCAAAGTCCCGTTTCTCCATCCTCCAATAGTACTGTAGGTATAGTTGTCAATGGGTGACATTGTCTCAGTTACATCACATATTTATTAAAGCTATCTTTATTTTTTTCCTCCTCTAAATAAAATTAAATTGTATCGTGGAGGTGTTGCAGGAAAATTAAAGCATACAAAATTTAAATAAGAGTTCAAATACTAAGAAAATGCAATAATTACAATCATTTTATTCAAAATTTCAAAGCTATTAATGTGTGGATGTGTGTGTGTCCCCAGGTGTGAACCTGTTGGTGGGCACAGAGAACGGTTTGAAGCTGCTGGACCGCAGTGGTCAAGGCAAGGTTTACCCCCTCATCAACTCCCGCAGGTTCCAGCAGATGGACGTCCTGGAGGGCCTCAACCTGCTCATCACCATATCAGGTCATTACTGCTGCTCATCACCAGTCTGCTCTCACCACACTTGGTTAAAGCCATCTGTACTTTTGGCAAAAGACTGTCTTTTTAATGGGACGCCAAACACAAGATGCCAATTGTGCTCATGCCTTCAGAGTAATTGTTTTGCTTTGCATTTTTGCCTTTGCACTTCAAAGCCACAGGAAAGCTTTTTTTTATTTGTGTGTGTGCCGTGTGTTTAAGGGCTTGGAGGTGTTGTGAAAAGATGGTTTTGAACAAATATGTCAAGCCAATCCAGAGCTAAAAATGTGAAATATCGGTGTGTTTTGCAATATACTGTTTTGATAATGTGATGATATTTTGTTGGTTACTAATGTTTTTATCGGACACATAACAGCAGAAATATACCATCAACATGTTTGAACAGCTAAAACACGTTTAGACATTTTTGCCAGTAACCTCAATTTAAATGCATTTAAATAATCACTGATATTAGCCTCTTTGTAAGTGATCTCTGTGTCCATTAAGGCAAGAAAAACAAGGTGCGTGTCTACTACCTGGCCTGGCTGAGGAACAAGATCCTCCACAATGACCCTGAGGTGGAGAAGAAGCAGGGCTGGACCACTGTGGGGGAGATGGAGGGCTGCGTGCACTACAAAGTGGGTGAGTGACAGATGGGGGGGCTGTTTTATCACCACTGTCATTTCCACTCCGGAGAAGTTCCCATAAATGCATTTGGCCCAGTGAATTATTGATTGCGAGTATCTGATGTCAGATGGCCTTGTGGTTGTTCTCTCCAGTGAAATACGAGAGGATAAAGTTCCTGGTGATTGCTTTGAAGAATGCGGTGGAAGTGTATGCCTGGGCGCCCAAACCTTATCACAAATTCATGGCCTTCAAGGTAAGTCTCCCCTTTCCTCTGAGCTGGACTAGTGATGCCAGATCAGTCAACCAGAAGAGCATTTAAGTAGATCATCTTCTCGCTCTCACTTTCTGCTCCCTCCACTCCAGTCTTTTGCAGACCTGCCACACAGGCCCGTCCTGGTCGACCTGACCGTGGAGGAGGGTCAGAGGTTAAAGGTCATTTACGGTTCATGCGCTGGCTTCCACGCCATCGACGTGGACTCCGGGAACAACTATGACATTTACATCCCCGTTCATGTGAGTTGCGCAGCCGTCAGGCGTCATGTGTTTCGGGCGATGTGAAACCTACAGGAAGTCATCCCGTCTGTTTTCCTCCCGAACAGATTCAGAGCCATGTGACACCGCACGCAATCGTGTTCCTGCCCAGCTCAGACGGCATGGAGATGCTGCTGTGCTACGAAGACGAGGGGGTCTACGTCAACACCTACGGGCGCATCATCAAGGACGTGGTCCTGCAGTGGGGCGAGATGCCCACATCTGTTGGTGCGGATTGAATCCCAAAACAAACTTACATGGGCGTAGATCAAAGTGGATGTTATCAGCTGTGCAAACTATAAGCAGCATGCCAAAGTACTAATGTTAACGTTTTGCCTTGCAGCTCATATCTGCTCAAATCAGATCATGGGATGGGGAGAGAAGGCCATTGAGATCCGTTCCGTGGAGACCGGCCACCTGGACGGTGTCTTCATGCACAAACGAGCTCAGAGGCTGAAGTTCCTTTGTGAGCGAAATGACAAGGTGAGAGAGACGCAAGCTTAAAGGTGTGGGAGAGTCGGGCCACTGACAGCCGCTGAACGTAAACACGTGCATGTCCTTTTGTGTCTGTGCCGTGCCTCAGGTGTTCTTTGCATCAGTGCGGTCTGGAGGCAGCAGCCAGGTGTACTTCATGACGCTGAACAGAAACTGCATCATGAACTGGTGAAGGAGCAGCTGCTCTGGTCAGTGTGTGTGGAACCCAGCGGGGTTCGGAGAAGGAAGGGCAACCCAAATTCTCACAACCACATGCACACAACTGCAAACACCTTCCTCCCTTTCTCTTCAGCTCCCTCTCTCTCACACGCGCTCATGCGGCACACACACACACGAACAACCCATTCCAGCCTACACGTACACTCCTTAAGACACACTTTCCACAGAGCCCCCACCCCCCCGATAACATTCTCCCTGGAATCATCGTGAAAAATCCATACCATCTAATACCATCTGAATAATACCATCCGATTTGTTCTGTAAATATTCTTGTCTTGAGCTGCTTTACTTGGTGGACCCGTGTTCTGTCGTGACTACTTAGTTCCTCATTGTGAAGTATGTTAAAAAGAAACATTCCTCGATGGTTCTCCAGTACGTTTAAGAAGAAGGCATTATTTAACAATACTGTATGTTGAAATTAAGCTGTAAATAGGTAGCACCTTACTCTTAGATCTGAATCATTTGCAGGCCTCTTATATCGCCTCCAGTCGGTGTGTTGCCGCCGGACACGTGGACGTCGAATAATAAAAAAAAAATGCTGGAACGCCCATCTGCTGTGGCTTTCGGACCCCCGTTGTTATGGGGCTCTGATGAGGTTTAAAGGAAGTATTTAGTACAGAAAAATATATTACAAAGGGACATTAAAGTGGGGACAAAGTAGCTCATTGAAGTATTTTTAGTTCTGTATAGTAGACGGTAACCTGAAGTCCGGCTTTCACTAACTTTTTCTGACCTGAATGGCAAATGATGTTGCAACTCTTAATCACATTAAGTAAGCCTTGAACGCTTCAAAAGCAAACTAGATTTCAATGAATAACTTGATCAAACCAATCAGAAGTCACATACATGTGCAGTACTCACAATCAGGAATGTGAAATCTCCTGCTTTGCCTTTTTTTCTTCTTCTATGGTTTAGGTGAAGCCCTTCATTATTTGACTCATCAGGCTTTTATCTAAACTTTGTTTTGTTTTCATAGATTTACATAATACAAAAATGTGTTATTTATATGTAGTGATTCTGTATTGGTATTAGCCTACTGGTAATCTTACTTTTACTGTAATTATATTGCCATTATATTGCAATATATGCTAATCTGTGGAGTCTTTGTTTGAAGAGGGGAGTCTGTGGACTTGGCTGGGCGTGTCAGAGAGGGATATTTGTCGGTAAAAGAGGACGTTGGAGGAACGTGAAAAGAGGGCGTCGCTGAGATCACAGTGATTAAGGGAGATCATTTCCGTGGTCCTTTCACCCTCCTACCACAGTGATCTACCCTACTGTATCATATTTCAGTTCTAAGACTATTTAGTTAGTGTGGATCTCTTGTGTTTGCAGAGAACAGCTTGGTGTGGTGCAGTTAATTTCTTTGTCTTGGGGCCAGTGGAAAGATTTAAAGTAGGGTGACTCTGCAATACCACAGAGGACTCCATCTCATCAGGCACTTTGGAGAAGACTGGTGGAACACTTGAGACTTAATATATTTTATATCTGTACATTCTGCCAAAGTTCACCGCATATTCTGCAGCGGGTGCAGTAAGCCAGGGCAAACGGAGCTCGGCTAAAATAGCGAGGATAAAGATTTGTGTAGAAACTCTTCCTACAGATCACTAACCGATGTTCCTTTCTGTATATACAGCTAAAAATGGCAGCTGCCTTCTCACTAATATTATGGTATCATGCTTAATGAGCTGCTTTGGATCTCCTTATAGCTCTTGACTTTGTGTCTGCACAAGGGAGATTCTGTGTGCTCTCATACACCGGGCAGTACGGTAGAAGTACAAGGCAGCGTCATCAGGAAGTAGAGTGCTGATTTTCCTGTCAGCAGTGGGGTTGGTCCACACATGAATCACGCTTTTTGATCAGTGATTCACACGGTGTTACACCACCACCGTGCTTCCACAGCACTTTGGTATCAACAGGGTGGACATTTTAAAAGTCACTCCTATCATCAGCATGGAGTTGTTTGGAAAATGTCTACATTTTTCAACAAGTTGGTTCATCTGCTTATAAATAGAAGCGGACATGTTGATGTTAAAAGAACAAAACTGTCATTTCTTTGTTAAACCGCCAGTAGAAAAAGCTTTTGGTTATTCGAAAGAGGAACCTCGGCTAGTGATCATATATTTCATACAGACAAAAATAAAGCTATAGAGAATGCAGTACATGGTCAAAACAGAGGGCGTTTAATCAAAGAGTATATACATAGATGGCTACTTTTGTGGTGAGATTATAAAACAAACTATAAATGGGCATGGAAAGCACTTTCACTTCAGTAAACGTGTATCTCGAGCAGATAGTGTGCATGTAAGCCATGGAAGTAGAGTATATAGTACTGTATCAAAGTTGTTTTCCCCTTTTTAGCGAATGTGTTTTCTTGAGTGTCTGGTATGTGCCATGACTTTCAGTTCTAATGCCACAATTACAATCCACCAGGAGCTCTGGCACTTCTGCTTTTTATGGTCAAATCATCATTTTTTTTTATCAATCTGCCATGTTTACAGTTAAAGCAGTGCCTTGGAGTTTGGAAGGTGAGCGATGTAAGGATTGGTTATGAGCCCCCACCACAACCACACACACACGCGTCTTACTTGAAATCTCACATTGAAGAGGCACAAATATATTTGCTCCTTTGATATGATTTGTGCCACTGAAGTCTAATCCCTAATATCCCGTTGACGGACTTGAAATGCCTTTTTTGGCACCACGTATATATATGACCTAAAAATGATTTTCCGACAATAATCCATTCACAAAGTTGCAATAACAATTAAATTGCCACGTGTCCAATTAATCAAGTGTAACATGTGAAGGATCTGCTCACAGCGGGAGCCAGCATAGTGAAAAGCCATACGTATGAAACGCGTTTGTAGAGAAAACTTAGTACTTGTGTCCGATTTTAACTCTGCGTGTGACGTCTGCTCAGAAAATGTAGGTTCTTGCAGCAAAGATGAGATGAGCTCTTATTCTTGAATGATGTTGATTGCGTAATCTTGTAGTGGGGGGGGGGGGAAAGTAGCTTGATATATTCTGAAAGGCCTATTTTATAAAATGTGTAAATTAGTCTATATTGAGAAATCAAAGTGAATGTACATCTATAAGACAGATTTGTATTTATATGAACATGTGTACTGCTCTAATAATCAAAGCACAATGTATTTTAAGGCAGATATCAAAGCTATAATTGAGTGCAACGGAGAGACGGAGGTTTTTTTTTTTTTTTTTTCCTTTTTCATTCACTCGGCAGTCGTCAAACTCGTCAGTATGTAGTCAGTATGTAATCAGTCTAAGTAGTTGGTGATAGTGAAACGAGTCGTCCGCTGAGACAGCTGTGTGTGTGTGTGTAGACTGTCAATTACTGCAGCATGTCTGTTGAGTTATGTAGACGTAAAAAAAAGATAACGTCCGTCTTCTTGTTACCAGAGGAGTCCGCTGTGGCTGTGACGCTCGCGGTGACTCACAGATTGGCCTCGTGTGTAATTTGCCTTGGTGAAGGTGACGGGCTGTAAATATGCTCAGGTGACGACGGGAAACGGCACACAGGTGGTGCGGTGGGGATGTGAGGTTATTGACTCTTGGCAGCATTTAGGAAGTGAAAAGATCATCCATCAATTAGTGATATTAACACATTACAGAGGAAGACAATTAGTCAATTATCATTTCTTGACTACTTTAATTTTGTATGCATTTCCTGCTGATTTTACACACCAGTCTGTTTACAGGTGTCGGGGAGTACGACTGCACATGTGGACATTTGTTTTTGAGGTTTGGATTTAGAAGGAAGTGAATTTACCAGACCTCGCTAGCTCGCTCCTCATCTGCTACTTGTAACAGAATCTCTCACCAAACTGTTGGCAGTTGCAGTGCATTGTGGGTAATGTAGGCATTCGATTTTCACATGGAATAAAAATGTTTTGCATGGATTTATAAAGTTCAATTAGTGTTTCTAATTCAGAAGTGGAGCCCCAAACACTGAATACAGAGCGATGGGCAGACATTTCCTCTACCAAAATGTTTGCAACGTCTCAGGTGTTGCCTGGCAACGGCAGTCAGTGCACTTACTGCCAATGCCACTGAAACAGACTGGTGTGTGTGTAAAACCAGTGGAGAGCTCCTCTCAACACACACATACTCACGTTGCCTAATATAAAGTTTATTTGGAATACTTTAGTGTATTTCTACCTCGGTTTTTTTGCAGTTGAATATGATTGTTTTAAAGATGAAGCATAATACCATAGCGACATATTCATTTAATCTTCTTTATTGTCTGATTTGTGTTGACTGTTGTTTTTCTGGATAGCATTTTGATTAAATAATTTGACTTAGTAAAAACGGACTTGTTTATTTTATGAAGACCTTTTCATGTTGCCAATAAACAAAAGATCTCTCAAAACGAGCTCCTGCTCAAACTCTTGTGGCTCAGCAATGTTGTACACGTGTGATGAACATGGACGAGTAGTTTATGGGTGAGCTAATACAGACTGTCAATTAGGTTGAGGCGGTCACTTCAAATATTAAGCTTTTTAAATTGTATGCAGCAGAAATTCTTATAATAGGTTTGCATTTTGTAACAGTTCTTGTAACAAGAAGATGTGAAAGTTATATTCAATTCGTGCCAAGAGCCATTAAAAGAACCTCACTACAAGTTAGTTTCAGGACAGATTTCATTGCTGAATTCATGTAACAGCCAAGACGCATACACTTTGTCATCACAAAGAAAGGAGTTGTAGGTCAGAGCGCTGAACATGTAGAACATCGTCCTGAGAGACATTTCTTTCTTTTAATATTAAGCAATACAAGCATTTGAACAAATCCAACCCATGGCTGTTCATCTCCGTGTGGCCTACAGGAAGTGACTCTTCAGCGGCCTTTGGCAGACTGAATGTAGGCTGGTTTTTGTGTCTCTTTACTTTAGTTCATAATCGCAAAGAATAACTGCTTCTCCCCGTCAGTTTAACACAATCACCTGTTGGGATGCTTGTTCTTGCTTCACTATAGTGAAATCCCAGGAACTGCCTTTAGTGAACTCTGAAGTAATGGATAGTTAATCTTGTGATGAGGCACTCCTCTCTCTCATAGCTTCTATTTCTTATCCATAACGTGTGAATGGATTAGCAGCTGTAGCTGAGAGCGAGGCAGATCACACTTGAGCTCTAAAACGATGTGGATCTTTGGACAGAACTTCAACATCTATTATTCTTTTTCAATAACATTTTTTTTTTTTTTTTTTAAGACGGTAAACATGTTTGCAATGTTTTAGTGTATGTGTGCGCGTGTCTGTTACTTGTGAGAGGTTAACTAACTCCAGATTGTATTTCATAGGCTGATAAAACTTTAAACTTTCAAAAGATTGTGTGTTGAATGAATTCATGTCTTAATACAGAATTGTTTGAAAAATAAAATACCTTAATCTCATTAGTCCGGTTTCATTTCTTTGACTTCTGAATAAATGTCCGTTGTACAGATTTGAATGTCTATGAACTACATTTCTTTGAATTCTCATTACTGGAGACCTAAGCTTGCCTCTCCAAAATAATTGTCTATACTTTTTAAAGGCCCTGCTCGCCCCCATTAGACCTTTGCTCAGGCTGAAGGTGGGCGGAGCTCCACTAGGATTACAAGAGGTCACTGGATTTAGTTGTACTAATAATGATAAAGGTGTAAATGTGCAGCAAAGATAAAGATGTCAATCAAGCAGAGTGTACACACAGGCATTTTCAGGGCGAATAATTGAGCTGACCTGTGGGTGCACAGGGCCTTTAAGAATATAGTAGTGAGAATATTAAATATAAGCCACCGTTTAACCACATGATGGTGCTAAAATCCACTCGGACCTGTTGTCACTGGATTTGTGTGACATAACAAATTCAAAATGTCCACTTCACCGGAAACCCAGCTCAATATTCCCCGGCATGCCATTCAATGGATTAAATGAATTGCCTTAAAGATTTGTTTTTTTGTAATGAAGCCGTTTGTGTCCTTATTTTGTGAACCTGAGATGCTGAGTGAGCTGCAGCGCCTCCTGGTGGCTGAAGGTAAAGACACTTCAATCCTGCAAGAATAGCTAAATCTCTTCCTGTATGAAACATTTTAGTTTAACTTCAATCAACAGATATGAAAACACAAACGATCCTTACCTGAGTGATGATCAGAAAGTGTATCAAATAACATTTCTGTGACCTGAGCACAGGTGACATGTTTTTGTTTCTGCAGTAGAAACAGCGCAAGACTGATTCTTAACATTCAAGATATTTAAATTGTGATTGTGAAGGTTTAGGTTCTTTCCACACATTTCTAATTAAATAGGTTACTAACTACAACTATTGTATCCGCTGTCAGGTGGTCCAACTTTAAACTTTGTATTATGTTGTTGCAATTATACCGTTTTTATTATAATGGTTTTAAATAGTACAATCACTGCAATACATGTCAGTTGAGATTCTTAAAATAACCGTCTTTCCAATGATGTCTGTGATAAATGTTTCATTGTAAAAGGAGAATAACTAGTTTGTTATTCTTATTTGTGCTAAAATGTTTCGAGGCTATTTAGAAACTATACCATTCATTTAACAGCATGGGTCAATGTACCAGAACAAGCATTTTAATGTCACGTACCAGGCTGAACGACACATGAAAACACTTATTTTCTCTCCGGTTGATCAGCTTCACAAGTGTATGAATAAAGAAACAGTGCTTCAAAAAAGGAAACCACAATCACTGGCAGGAGAGGCTATTATTTATTAATATTATGTACAATTATACCATTGTCATGTCCAGATAATACATTGATAAAGTCAAAGTATGAATACTGGCTCCTGCTTTATTAAGATGCGTCTTACAATGTTTTTATTTTTTTTTCACTCAACTTTGAATCTCAGATCTTTAATGTTTTTGTTAATTTACCTTTTATCAATATTCTCTATTAATAATCCTTAACGTGTATCTGAGGCACACAGGGAGAACATGAATAAAATAAGTGTAAAAAAAAAAGAAGAAAACCAAAACTGAAGAGATTTACTGTATGCGGGGGTACATATCTATAAAAACAGTGATTACATGATGTTTCGAACAGATGAAAATAAGAGTTGATATTTCCTTGGACTCTGTCGATCATCGGCTCATCCTGTCTGTCAGTGTTTTGTTTTGTTGTTTTCAGTGTTAATGGACTCACATAATTCTCTTTCCACAACCATTCTTCCTTCACATTAGCATCGCTGAGATACATGTGGTACTGAGACAAAAATAGTACAGAAAATTTTTTCTGAAGTGCATTTTGGACTTCATTGTAAACAAAGACAGAATTGTCAAATAACGTCTTCTCCCCCGTTTAACTCGAGGAGCAGTGTCTCTCAGGAAAAAGTGTGTGTGTGTGTGTGTGTGTGTGTGTGTGTGTGTTAAGTGAATGAGCGTGTTAGACGTGTTAAAAGGCTTCAGGTAATAGTGGCATTTGTGTTTTTTATTTGAGCAGCTGAAGAATCAACTGTTTTTGTCACGTTTTTACATTTTACAGATTATGTGTGTGTGTGTGTGTGTGTGTGTGTGTGTGTGTGTGTGTGGAACTGTACTTAAACCAGCTGTAGTTAGTGAGGGCATGTGTTCAGGTTTTGTGTCATCTTGTCCTGCATACAGCGGGTGTGTGTGTGTGTGTGTGTGTGTGTGTGTGTGTGTGTATGTGTGTGTGTAAACTCATATCTAAGTCATATATATTATGTACAGTACAATGTTGCAGTTTGTCTGTTGAATCTTACATACAGTGAATACAGGGTGCAAACAGTGTCCCAAGACGGGAGCAATGTCTGTCTGTTTGTTGGACGTGCGTGCGTGTGTGCGTGTGTGTGTGCGCGTGTGTGTGCGCGTGTGTGTGCGTGTGTGTGTGCGTGTGTGTGCGTGTGTGTGTGTGTGTGTGTGTGTGTTTGCGGTTTATGTGCGTGGCTCAGTTCCAGATCTTAAGGAAGCTGTCCCAGGACCCGGTGCTCACCGCCATGCCGTCATCCGTCACACCCAGACAGCTCACACGATTGTCATGGCCGGCCAGGACCCCTGCAGGGGGGACAGGGACAAACAAAAGAGGAGTTGTTGCTGTAAAAATGTTCTGTTCTACAGACTGCGCCGAAACCTTTGAAAAACCACACAGAACACAGCAACCTTGTGTCTATTACTGCTTTAACTGGCAACACAGGTTCAGTTTTCACAAAACAAGGCTCGAGATGTGTGAATTTACTGGTAAGTCTGGCACACCCAAAAATGACTCAAAAGTCAACTTAAAACTGACAAATGATTCAGTGTTATAGTTCTTTAAATCCATTACATGATGACATTATCTTGTATTTTGTGCTTACACCCCTCAGTTTCCAATTACAAACCACAATGTATGTGCATACCATGTTACACATTGTTTTACGACTCATTACAGACACATTATGATTGTTTTTGGTTCCGTAAAAACAAAAACGATTTGGCTATTTTCACCTAAATCCTATTGGTATACATTGGTTGAGTCATTTGCTCCATGGTGCTCAGTGAAGGACACGGACTATCACCTCGACCGTCGGCCATTCAACCAGTTATCATTAACTTCATTTGAAATGTGCGAAGTACAACTGCACTTTCCGTTATTTCTAAAGGAATCTGTGTAACTCTTCATTCTTTTTAAGAAGGTAAATTAGCCTTTGAATTGGGTAATGAAATGAGGCATTACGTTTTCAGTCTCTCGTTTTGCACCAAACACGCTTTCACTTGGTTCCTGAGTTAAATATTGCAGGTCATGGTCCGATAAGTGTTAGTTTTACTTTGCATTGATACAATATGGACTGTTGCCTTTTCATCCTCTAATCCTTCATATACGTAAACGTTTTATTTGATGGTGAAGTGTACAAACACATACCTACGATCGTCCCTTTCTGGCAGAAATCTACAGACTAACTAAGATACAAATAATGTTAAAAGCAAAGTCATTTGGTGTCTCGATGAAGTAACTCCACAAGGAAGATAATCCTCACTTGAGCTGCAGGTTGAACCTTTCTAGACCTACTCTTTGAGCTGTTTCCTCTCGCCTGACCCACTCACCTGCTCTGTCTCCCTTCATGGCGTCCCAGATGTTGCAGTTGAAATCATCATAACCAGCCAGCAGCAAACGGCCGGAGCGCGAGAAAGCCACGGATGTGATGCCACAAATGATGTTGTCATGGCAGTAGAGGCTGAGCTCCTGGTCTGCGCGCAGGTCAAACAGCCTGCAGGTGGCGTCGTCTGAGCCGGTGGCAAAGGCGCTGCCGTTGGGAAAGAACTGAGGAGGAGCACGGGGAGATGAATGAGAAGCAGGAAGTGTGGATACAGGCATATGAAGAGACAACAAGTAGGTGATTCTGGCCCCTATATAGTCCCCTATTCCCTACATGCCCTTCTATGACAGAAAACTATGCTCTCATTGGCTACTAGTGTCTCGGCACTCGGACTGAATCTGATCAGATGATCGCGGTGGTTTCAAAACCAAATCTGTCCAGCTGTCATCCATCAGATTTAACCTGTGTGGTACATCAGTCCAGACAGTTGGAGTCTGGACTGATGCAGGATGTTCAGATATGGTGTTAATTGATCATCTTGCTAATCCTCTAGCGTGCTCCCAGTTTAAATCCCCCCCCCAAAGCTGGAGACAAGACAGCGTGTGACGTCACCGAGACAAATCCTGGAGGCGCTCTGTTGATCGTGTGTCAGGCGGTTTACAGACTGACACTTGAGACCATTGTTGCGCCGATACCAGTGCGAAACATTTGGAATTCCTAATGGACATATTAGTTTATGCACAAAACAGTTTGTTGATCCATTTTTGTTCCATCTCTCTTCAGATTTGTTGTTATTTCTTAGTGTGTGAAGCTTATATTTTTCTATTTAGGATTATTTTTTAAGACTTAACAAAGCTCCTGCAGAGTTTTAGGAAGAAAATGTTTCCCATCACGCATGAACTGAACTTCATGTGTAGAAATTGACGAATGCCCCATTAAAATGCAATCACAGATCATTTTTTTTTTAAATAGTACGAATGAAGATACATATATTTGTTCTTGTTTGGTCACAGGGCCACCCGTTCCCTGAGCACACTCACACAGATAGCGTTGATGTCCGACTCGTGGCCTGTGAAGGTCTGCCGGCACATGCTGTCCCTGATGTCCCACAGTTTGACCGAGGCGTCGCAGGCTCCTGACACAAAGGTGCGGAGGTCGGGCGACAGGGACAGGCTCATGACGTCGCCGCTGTGCCCAGAGAAAACCGTGGTCTGCTGACTCGTCTCGATGTCCCACAGTGCACTGGGGCGGAGAGGCAGAGTTAGACACTGATCAGCTCGCGACAAACACGCTCGCACCGCACACTGTCTGTGTTTTTGATCTCAGTGGCTCACCATGTGGTGTCTCCTGAACTCGTGATGATTTGATTGTCGTCAATGAAACGGCAACATGACAGGTAACCTGAGAGAACAGAGCAGGTGTTTGTTGAAACTTGCATATGGACAGGTGATCCTATACTTATTTAACAATAGGTGATAGTAAAGTGGCATTCCTAGGGTATACTCTATTATATAACAGGCACAAAAAAAAACGAATATTATTGCAACAGTACAATGACTTTACAGAAAAAACATTAGGGTAAAGGTAGAGGTGATGTGAATGCCATTTCCTGCAAATCTATACATTTATATCGATCACGCGAATAACAATTCATGATGGAATTGTTATTGAGCTTTCCGTTGTGTAGAGTTTGACAGACACCTGATATGTTATATTGTATTAGAGACATCTTGATATTACGTTGCAGCCTATTCTGCAAATCACGCACAGCAGCACAGTAGCCACAGTGTCACAAACCGGAGTCTCGCAGACAGGAGTCGATGGTTATTAAGACGGCGCTTCCCTGCGATTAATTGACCACGTGAACGAAATCTTCATTGTTCAGGGGTTTGGGAGCAGAGCTTTCCAACAAGGTAGGGGTCTCATCGGTTGATGTGGTTGAGAGCGTGACGTTCTCTCACCTGTGTGGCCAGGTAGCTCCCTGCTGACCCTGACGTTGCCCTCGCGAGTCTTCAAGCAGTAGATGGAGCAGATGTTGTCCAGGCCTCCGCAGGCCACGTAGTTCCCAGACGGGGCGTACGCACAGGTCATCACCCAGGAGGAGCGCAGGGGGATGGCGTGTATCTACGAAGGCGTGGAGGCAAAAGACGTTAAACTTTTGGCCTCGAAAGAAAAACCCTACACCCTAGTAATAACACTACCTAATGCTAATGTCACTGGCTAACGTTAGAATAAGTCATGACAATGGTAGCAAAAGAAGCTGTGACGAGTCAACCACCGACGACTATTAATCCAGCCGATGAGAAGAATTACTCGGCTGACTTTACCTTGTTAGTGGTGTAGCTGTCCCAGATGATCAGTTTTCCATCTTGAGAGGCACTAACCAGAAGCCTGGAGACACAAACGTTCAAACTTCATTCCTCTATTGATGGACATTCAGTTTGGCTTAGTGTTCATTTTCTGAACGAATTCAAACTGTGGACTCATTTGAAACAAACACGCCAGTCTTCCACAGTGATCGGTCTCCTGGTAATACAGGCAAAACGCATTTGGAATATCCTTTGTGCTACTTGAGTCTATACAGTGGCGTTCTAAAGCTAAAACTGCTTTTTGGATGTTTTGGCTCCGTGTTTTTGAAGACTCAGAAGCTATTAGTTTTGTGAGGCTATACTTTGCTCAGCATGCTATCACAGCGGCAATGCTAACATGCAGATGTAAAGCAGGTATAGTGTTTACAGTGATCCCCATCTTAGTTTGCCATGTAGGCATGCTATATGTATCTGTATGTAATGTATTATCGCATGTTAAGTTGCTGAATGAATGGAGCCAAATTGCAATGTTTGAAGTGTTTGCTACAGTAGAGACTCACTTTGAGTCAGTGCCCCAGTGCATGGCGTAGATCTTGGCGAGGTGGCCGCGGAGGGTGCGTCTCGTCCGCATCTGAATCCGCCCCACAGGATCCAGACCAGCAGTTATCTGGGTTAGAGGGGAGAGGTAAAACAAAAAAAATTGTATTAATAAAAATCACCCTTTTTTATTGATAACTGTGGGATGGGAGGTTCCACAGTGAAGTGTCTCGAGATTGTAACAATATTGTAATATGTCATGCCAAATTTGATGATACAAATACATTTAAATGTAAAAAACAAAAAAATCTAATTTACAAATGATGATATTAAAGTAATGTATAAAGCACAGCACAGGAAAATGTTAAACCACCATGTTTATAGTGCTGGTGATCATGTTATTAGTTATAAATCATCAATAACTAAGCATCTATATTTTCCCAAAAATAAGTTTCTCCCATGAACTTATTATCACGTTTCCAAATCGATGGTCACCAAACCACTTCTTATCACTGGAATCAAGCCCCCAAAATCTTGAACAGATATAACAGACATTCAGGGGCACTTACCTGTGTCAGGGTTGAATCTCCACATGCTTTCCTGGCATCCTGTTGGACAGGGAATCATAGGACGAAAAAAACAAGACATTACACAACATGTAAATATATCAGTGGATGAAAACTAAACTCTAAAAACATTGGACTCACTCTTATCTGGTTCCTAAGCTGCTCGGCCTCCTGGCGAAGCTGCTCCAGCTCACTCATTTTGGATTTGTCTGAGCCGTCACCTGTTGGTCGTGGAAAAACTTCAAATGTCAGTCTCAGATTTACATAAAGTATCATCTCATAATTGCTGTATATGAGTGAGCCCCACAGGGATTAGCATAGTTTTATGATTTGATAATCCACTATAATCCAGGAGTCCACTTTCATCAAAAATGAATCAATTAGGTTAAATAATTTACTTAAAACACTGTTTGTAAGAAATAATAAAATAAAAACACACACATTTTAATCTCTACGGTTTACTGAACCCACACAGTGAGAAAAAACCTTGTAATCTGTTTATGGCTGTGCAACCATGCCTGGTTTAACTGAGGAGAATAATCTGTAATGACTAAGCCTCCATGGAGCAGCCAGCATCGCTACCAGGCAGCAGATACTGAGCGAACACTCCCTCTAAAGCAGAGGCAACTTGTTACACTCTGCAATTACAGGTTGTGTATCAAGTCAGAACTGGTGCTAATGCTGGATACAGTCATCTGCATGTCGTCGGAGGCACTGCGGTTTGGAAGAAAGAACATGGCAGGAGTTATATCATTTAGCTATGGGCCAACTGGGTGCTCTCACACTGTACATCACATCAAGCTTTCGGGAGGAAACAGCATTTCCTGCTCCTGATAGGAGCACAGTTACACATTCAAAACCGCTTCCCAAACAGGGAGCTTCTATTTGCATTTGTGCAGCAATTCAAATCCACAGCAAACATGCATACAGTGCACACTGTAAAGGAAGAGCAATTAGCTACAGTAGGTCACTGTTCCCTGGAGGGGACCTGCGACCAGATGGATCACACGGCACTAATGGAAGCCAAAAGGGGCGCATCATGGGTCTCAGTCTCCTGGCACAGCTGCTCATTTAGCCAATGAGGATAAAAAGCTGAGGGGGGGGGTGATGCATCACAGATCAGGCCTGGATGGGTCCGACCAGATGCTCGGATGCATGTTCCGAATTGCCTGCGAGCATCGACTGGATGGCGAGCAGAGCTGTGACGAAGTCATGCCGATGGACGGAGTGGAAAAAACAAAAAAAAAAAAAAAGACCCCCACACATCACAGCCAACATGACTCCACCTGCACTGGTGCATGGCCAGACAAGAGGCTGTACCTCCTTCACGACGATGAGGAGGGTTAACGTTAGAATAAAGCCTCATCTGAACATCTGGGGGGAGTAGTGGCCTCTTTTTAAAAAAATGTTTAAAGAGCACATTTTATAACACAAGGAGAGAGAAATGATGCCCGAAAGTGTGCCTGGCCCCACCCCTTCGGATGCACATCTGATGTGGAGCTACATCGACATGGCATGAATGCATCTGCAAAACTGGAGATGGAGTGCAGAAGCCGCTGCATCTTTGACAGAGCAAATGTTAATGTCAGAGAGAGACTGTGCGGCTCCGCTCACTATAACCCAGGTTAACACACACACACACACTCACACACACGCGCGCGCGCGCGCATAGGCCTGTGTGCTGGGAGCTCCGCACGGTGTAAAAAAGCCGCAGTAAAGAAAGAAGCGGGTACAAGCCAGATTCAGATATATAGGATGTACTCCATAAGGGTCTTTTTTTTTGTTTCACCGCCCGCCGCATTTATATATAAGCCCAGTGTCTCCAAATAAGAAGGGCAGGCCCCCGTGAAAACAGGCTACATCACATATCGATCAGCACCGAGCGGCTGATGGAGGCCTTGACCACATCTCGTTTCAGATGCTGAGCTCCTAAAATGCGGATGTAGCTAAGTTAATTTAGTCGAAATGATGCCACGAATAGAGCACATCATCGCCCAGCCATCTTACGCGCCCTGCGCCGGCCTACAGCGGCTGTCACAGCGTTTGATAATGGGGTGGCTACCTGTTAATTCTCCCGATGATTTTGCAGCTTTTTTTTTTTTTTTTTTTTTTTTTCTCTCCTTCCGCGAAAAAAAAAAGCAACGTCCCCCGGAAAAAAAAAAAAGGAATCCCGTGGAAGGGTTTTAACTATACGTCTTTCTCACTCATTAAAAAAAAAAAAAATGAGATCCACTTTAAAGTCCGTGTGTCACGATTAGGCTGTTTCCCAAATCCTTCAGCGAACAGGCAAACGGAGGAGGGCTACACACATTTCCATTTCTCTGCTTTAGTGGAGCCTCCTGAAAAAAAAAGAAAAAAAGATGAGATCTGCTGCTGCTGCTGCTTGTGTTGCCGTTTCCTCCTCGAAATGCTTTCCCCTCCTTTTCTTTTCACGCCCGACCAGTTAACAAAAACATCTTTGTCCAAATGCGAGGTAAACAAACAGAATTTCGGCTCGGTGCTCGGCCCGCATCAAGCTCTGTCCATTAAATACTACACAGTCCGTTTCACTCCGATTCTGCTTTTCGTGACGTTATCCTCGTTTCCTTCCTCTCTCTGGTTTCCTCCTCCCTCTGCCGACACTTCATCAGGACAACCGCCTCCGAGCCGACAATGAATTACTGAGTAAAATCTGCCTCATATGAGAAAATAATGCCATTAAACAAAAAGAGAAATGCTTCTATAAGCTGCAAGAGATCAACCCATCAGTAGACCGACTGCGTGGATTTTGTCACAGTATAATGAGCCGCGGCCCTCTCGGTCAGTTATCCACACGGTTCCTGTTTTTTTTTTTTTTTTTTCTGAATATCATTATACAGAAACAAGCAGCCAGATCACGCGGTGGGCGCTTGCAGAAGGATCCTCAAATCCGGGCATGAAGCATGTTTCAACCACACCCATCTCTTAAATACTAGTAAAACCCATGACCCCCCCCCCGCCCCCCCGATCACATCATTCTGCAGTTTTGGGATCCTTTTGTCACCTGGACTCGTCAGTTGTAGATGTTCAGAGGGAGGTTGCTCATGTTAAAAATGCAATGTTGTTGTTTTACTAATGCTCATTTCATGTTTTTTTTTCAGGATGCATGGCCTCGTTGTGAACATACATGCCCATCCTCTCCACTCTGACGTTACAGAATGTACATCACGCATCACGGAGGTCAAATGAACAAGAAATCACAGCATACAGAGCTGAACTGCTGGTTGGATCAGGTGACGTTTTGCAGTAGCTCCACTCTGCTGAGACTGATTCAGTTAGTGAGTCCTTTTATTTTGTATGGGCTGTATGAAATAAATGTGGATGTGATTCAGAAATCCCCCCAATGTTCTTGCATCACTCCTCATTCATTGCATCTATCTATCTATCTATCTATCTATCTATCTATCTATCTATCTATCTATCTATCTATCTATATATATAC